AGCCCCCTCCCCCCGATCCACGACTCTCGCCTTCTATTTAAGCCGAGAGTATTGAAACCGTATATCTTTTTATCCCTTTTCTTCTTCTTCTTCTTCTTCTTTTTCTTTTTCTTTTTTTTTTCTTCTGAAGCTTAGCGACACTTTATGATATCGAGAGTGAAGAGAAAATACGATGAGAACAATTTTCTTCCCGTCGAGTAATCCCTGGTAATGCTAGTTTGTGTCTTATCGAGCGATTTCAAAAAGTACGCGCGGGACTGGATTTATGTGACCGGAAACTGGAAAAATATTTAAATTTGTCGTATATATTAGAGATCGTGAAATCGTTTCATAAATTTTGGAGAACGAGGGAATAATTAAATGTAGAAAAAAAAAAAAAAAAGAAAAATCATTTTTACCGCTTTTAAGGGAACGATAATTTCGAAATCAGTTCAAAATCACGATGATATGAAAAAAAGGAGGGGGAGGGGATAAAAAGAAATATATTTTTAATTTAAACGCGATAATTTAAACGTGTCCGAAAATTTTTGACCGGAAATGGCCGGTGAGGACGAAATATTCTTGGCGGTTCGTGTAAAATGCATTAAATTTGTATCGTACCGTTTTATTTCAATTCGGGGGGAATAAAAAATGTAATTTCTGGTAACGAGACCGTACGGAATGTTCGACGTAATATCGGCCCGAAAAATTTTGACCCGATGTATCAATCGTTTGCGAACGTTTCTAAAAAACTGATGAACATCATTGGTACTCGAGAAATGATATATACGATATATTAATAACTCGTTACCATCCGTTACGCGAGAGATTGATTGTAGAAACAAAAAAAAAAAAAAAAAGGAATGACGAGTTAAGCGGTTGGAAAATCGCAATGAAAAGCTTTTTAAAGAAGGCTTCTGAAGTTGAAATTATCTACGAGACTCTTTGGCTGCTCGAAAAACGACGAACAATGTTATTATCGCTGCTCTTTTCGAGAAAGGGAGGGGGAGAGAAGTGAAAACGAAAAGGAGAAATAGAAGATAGCAAATACGTTTAAAAATTTTCCTGGGAAAATTTGCTCGAGATTTCTTATCTCTACCGCAAAGATTTTTTTCTTTTTTTAACGATACCTTTCACCTGGAATCACGGATCATCTTTATCGTTCATTCGTGTCGCGCATAAAACAGGAATATTAAAAAATTATCCGGGATCGTGACTCATCGGTGAAACGTGACGTAATTTGTAAAAAAACATTACGATCCGCGGCTCATCCGCGGCAAGGGATTGTTTTCTGAATTTTAATCCTCCCCATTGTATTATTAATATTCGTATCGCGATAAAAACCGATTTAACAGACCGATTTATTTCACTTGTTCACTCGAAAAGCACGACGACGCGGAAAGGATAAAAGACGAACGAAAAGGATTTGATAAAAAGCGGTGACAAAAATGGAAAATAAAGAAGAAAAGAAGAAAAAAAGAGTGGCGCGGTCTTTGTAACAGCTACATCCTGGATATTTAAAAAATTCAATTTTTCGCGATAAGAACGAATTATGAATCGGAGAGGGTTCGTTATGAAATGTCATTTTCAACGTGGAAACTCTCTCTCTCTCTCTCTCTCTCTCTCTCTCCCTTTCCCTTCCGCATTATAATAAAAGCACGAGCGGGAAGTGGCGTGCACATGTTCATTAAAATTCAAACGTGCAATAATAAAGTATCTTAATTAAACAAAACAGACGTCATAAAATATATTTATTCACGCTCTGACCGTGGATAATCCTCGACTAATTGGATAGAAAGTTTACGAATAAAGTATCGGACGTAAAGTACAAGCAGGGAAGAAAACTTATTGTTAACAGATTTCATTTCGAGCGACGAAGCACAGATAGAAAAATCATTAAAGTTTTTCCGAGTAATAAAAATATTCCTCGTCGATATTTTGAAATTGAATTTTCTTCGATTCATCGATCCCAAGATTCTCTCAAGAATGATTATTGCGCAGAGCGTATTTATCATCTCGAACTGTACACCGCTTAATTTCGGTGATCTGTCTTGCAGATTCGATAAACATTCCTGAAATCTATCGCTGTTTCGGTTGAGACGTGTTCATTTGCAAACCTCCTTCATCAAACAGCTCCGACCTTAATGCCGATTGATCACCACTTCTTGTTCACCACGTCACGCTTCCTCTGTCGGGCGCAAACTTCGAAAAGTTCAAGGTACATAGATCCCGTAGACCGTAAGACAGGAGAGATAGTTGAACGCGGTATAACTCAGGAACAATTTCCACCAGGCGACAACCAAGCCGAACTCCACTTTTCGATTCGACCCTCGTACGGACCGTTCATTAGATCTTTCGTGTACGTTTTAGGGGGAGAGGGAGGATGACGGGATTACGTAAAACTCGGTGGAAACACTTTCTACTTACAAGGCTGACTATGAAAAAAAAAAAGAAAAAAAAAAAGACGAACCTGTTTAACCAGAGATCGTTAACGTTGTTACGATAATCAAACGAAAGGGGACGAAGTTAAAATCGACCGTGTTTGTCGATCGAAATTCCAACGAGTGGAATTTATGGAATTATATTAAATAAGGAATATTATAAATTATAACGAATGAAGAATAATTGGAAGAACGAGCGTAAAATGATTCTGAATTCATTCGATTCAGACCCTTCGATGTTACGCTCGTTACGAGAGAAGGAGTGTAACTCCATTTTCTTATTCCGTTATTCTCGTTTATATAAAAGTAATATAACTTCCTCCTAACGACTTTTATTTCCAGACATCTTTACGGTCTGAGGTCAGCCAGTTATGGCGCTCCAAGAACCCCTTATGAAGAAATCGTCGTTTGCAGAAATTTTTATACCCCTTTTAGGTAACAGCCTTTTTGCTGTTATCACCGTCTCGAGTGTACGAGTGTATACGAATAAAAGAATTGAAGAAAATCGTTGCGTGGTTTTGGATTTTCGATCCAACGATCTTCAAAAATCGAACACGATATATATATATATACCAATGATCGCCATTCACAATGAATAGCAAATACGTGAAACGATTATTGGCAACGGGAAAATTTACACGGCCAGATCGTTAGTTTCAAGTGGATGAACATCACCAGTCAAAATGACGCCACTGTTCTCCGTTATACATTCAGTTATAAACGAGCTATACGACCTGGAACTAACACGACCGCAAATTTGTACGAGTTGGAACGTGCAAGTCGCCTTCTGACCACTTCGTGTTTAGGAATCAAGCGTGTAATTAATAATAAACCCGAAGAGATCTTCCCCTTTCCTCTTTTCTTCATCCTCCCTTCCCTAGCTCACGCGAAATCTCGGATAAAGAAGTAACGTTGAAAATGAAGTAACGTAACGTCAAGTACGAGTTCTTCTGGGATTTTGTATTAAATATATTACAAACTAAGAACGCGCAAAACTTCGGTGTTATATGTTAGGGAATAATTAGAGGAAACACGTTTCACA